GCTGCTTTTCGTACACTGCTTTGCATCACTAGAAGAAACAAGTGTGTAGCCAGTCGACGTTTTACATTAATTGTGGTGGATCTGCGTTTACGTATGTTGGGAAACCATTTGCATTTTTTACCTCTCACTGTGTGTCCCTGCACTGATTAATGGGAGATTCTTAAGATTGAAATCTTTCTCTGTAAACTATTAACCTGGTTATGAATTGCGAAAGTAACGGAAAGCATGTTAATAATTTTTAGACTAGTATGTTTATAATGCACATTATAAATCACTGTGTTCACTAAAAGCTTATTTATAAATTAATTCGAAAAGTTTTCTCTGCGTTTATAATAACCTTAAATGTTTGCAAATAACACATAATAAAAACTAAAAAATATTTTTAATGTAAAGCAACAATAAATGAATAAATAAATAATATATATATATATATTCCGTTTGATAGTTTACAAACAGCAGGTAGTTTAAAACTGCAGAGCTGTTGTAGCAAAAAACTCATAACAACTCTACAGTATTTGCGATGTATTCCAATATATGATTGTCACGCGAGACTGTATTTTAAAGATGTGAAATAATTTTGAGATAAAAAAAGAGAATAGCAGCATAAATATTTAGCGTCGACTTCTTTAACCTAAAAAATTGGCCATAAATTTGAGATAGAATATGTACCATAAAGTTTTTCATAACTTTTTTCGGAACTATTCTGATATGCGCCCTTAAGTCGCCAAATTTCTCGCCAAACATTTTTGGCCAGAAACTTCACGCTGCCATATTATTATCTAAATTTTTTGTCTACATTTCGAACTTTAAGCCGAAAATGTCTCCAAAAACGCGGATTTCGCTCATGTAAAAACCACGTTTTGAACACACAGTTTAAGCTAAAAATCCGAAACAAAAACGAAAAATTTAGATAGCAAAAACGTAAAGTTTCTAACCAAAAATATTTGACAAGAATCCATGTCCACAGCGAAATGTTTTAACTTAAAAAAACATTTACCAATGGCACAATCTAGGCAACGAACGAATCTACGAACTACGTACACCTCGCTTTAATAAATTAACATAACAGCAATAAATTTCAAAGAATACCATGTACACAGCATCCTGTTTAAACTTTAAAAAAAAATCTACGAATTGCACAATTTAGGCAACGAACGAATCTACGAACTACTCACATCTCGCTTTAATAAATTAACATAACAACAATAAATTTCAAAGAATACCATGTACACAGCGTTCTGTTTCAACTTTAAAAAACATCTACGAATTGCACAATCTAGACACTACGCACTAATCAACAAAATAAACTAAAATGAATTTCAAACAATTCAAAAAAACAACAATAACGACAAAAAATAATAGTAAAAAAGCAATGAACATAACATTCTACAAATTAAGAACAAGAATAAAATAAAATGCACTTACCATGAAGTAATGCTTTTTCGAACAGCAGAAATACCAATTTCATACCGCCTTTAACATGCCGCCACGTAATCACCATTGTATTTATATGACAGCTAGACACATTATCCAGAAAATTCATACTATGGTTCACAAATAAATTAAGATCACAAATCCCTACTTCTACGAACTACTCACACCTCGCTTTAATAAATTAACATAACAACAATAAATTTCAAAGAATACCATGTACACAGCGTTCCGTTTCAACTTTAAAAAACATCTACGAATTGCACAATCTAGACACTACGCACTAATCAACAAAATAAACTAAAATGAATTTCAAACAATTCAAAAAAACAACAATAACGACAAAAAATAATAGTAAAAAAGCAATGAACATAACATTCTACAAATTAAGAACAAGAATAAAATAAAATGCACTTACCATGAAGTAATGCTTTTTCGAACAGCAGAAATACCAATTTCATACCGCCTTTAACATGCCGCCACGTAATCACCATTGTATTTATATGACATCTAGACACATTATCCAGAAAATTCATACCATGGTTCACAAATAAATAAGATTACAAATAATCACAAATCCCTACTTCTATCGTGCACAGCCACTAAAAATAATCTCCCAGACCCTCTTTCCACTCCTCCAAACACCCACTGCCCCTCAACAGGATGGCCACAATGATATTTCCTTTTGCCGAACTTCAATTCAACAACTTCCACCATTTTATCTTTCCCCCCTATCTTCTCAGTCACAGACGCGAACCAACGAGCTCCAGCAAAACATTTTTCAACGTCAACAGGGTTGCCATACAACACGCAATCGCGCTAAAAACCAGCGCAGAACACATATCGCCACATTTGGTGAAATTAGAGCGTATATCAGAGTTGTACCCTTTTTTCAACTCCATAGTTGGGTATTTTATTAGAAGTTTCATGTATGTTTCAACATGCATCATGCTCAGTTACATTTTACGCATTACACATACAAATTATTTTTTATTTATATAAATATTTTTTTAATTTATAACCCCTGTTACGGAAAGTTATAAATATCAGCTTTTTTAAAAAAGACAAAGAATAGAAGAGGGAAGGGAGGAAAAGAAGAAAGAAAAAGAAATGAACTTTAGTGCATAATCCATTAGTGATGTTCACTTTTAGTCGTGGAAGCTGAGCCGAAATGGAAGAAAGTGGGTTTTTAGCCGAAAATCCTCCCGCACTTAAAGATGCTCGATTTCCTTAGTTTGGTTGCACATTTGGCGATAACTTGCTATATTTGGCGTATTAATGAAATGTACTTCTTTCTCTGACGAAACAATCGAACAACAGTGAAATGCAATTCATATGAATTTGATCATATTTAAAATTAATTATAATTTAAAATTAAAATAAAAGATACGTGTTAGTTTTGATAGGAGTTAAATATCGTTTTCAAGCTCGAAATTACTCAACAATTGTAAAATAAAATCACATGGATTTGATATTCATTAACAATAAACTGCAATTTAAATTGAAAACAAAAATCTTTCACACAGATTCACTTAAAACTGAGATACAACAATACTTTGCACAGTCTGGTTAACCAGTTCCGCCATGATCCAGCAATCTTTGAAATCGGATTAACTGAAAATCTAAACGCATACGAAAAATACTAAGTCCCCCCTTCAAAAAATCTTTTTTTCTTCCAGTTTTTCAAGAAATTAAACGCAATTTATAAATTCAAATATCTTTATTATGAAAAATTTTTTTAAATGCATATTTATTGTAATTCACATTTTAAAAAATTTCAATATCGATGAATGAAGATGTTTATTTAGCCTTCAGTCATTTCAATTCAGACATTTCTCTCTAGCAACGAACTATATCGTTTAGTAATTGTACATTGCAGCAACTAGATAAATTTTAAAAGCAAAATAAGAGTTTGTGATTAAAAAAGAAACATTTCCAAATAAACTGATAAAGATTCATAGTTTTTAAATTAATGCTGCTGTTTATAAACAAAAATAAAGCAATCTTATTGCTGTTATTCTGTATTGAGAGAAGTACGTTTCTACGTTATACAATTTTTAAACTTTTCTGCTCTGCATTGAAAATATTTTATTAGGTTAGAAATTGTATTTTTTATGAATTCTCGTTTTTATCTTTTTATAATTGCATAACTGACAATTGATTTTAAAAAGAGTAAACGGAATTCAAAAAGTGATGCTATAATCTTTATAATAACGAAACTAGCTTTTAACTCAAGTTAAGAAATTTGTTGTGTTCAGAATATTAGAAGAGTAACTTTTTTTTCCTACTCACAATGCATACACAGTTCTAGACAAAGAATAAGAAAAGGACACTTGGACAGCGTACGGTGAAGACAAATTTCAAACTTACTGAAAATATGTTTAAAATGCTGTCAGCTTAGCACGAGTTTGCATAAAAATCTATCGTTTAATTTTTCATATAGAACTATATGGTGACCAAAATACAGAGGGTTAGCAACACCTAACTCATTTAATTATTAATCCTTTGATTAATTCATAACTTACAAAAAATTTGATTATCAGATACAGTTTGCTTGGCCCACTGCAATCTGTAACTATATATATATGTGATGTACCAGCTTTTGTCAGGAATAAATAGATTGTTGAAGAATCATCAATGTAGTCGTAGCTTAAATTATCAGACGATAGTTTTAAAAAAACAGGATCCATTTATTATATTTCAGGAGAAAATAGCAATTACAAAAATCTGATCTCCGGAGTAAATAAAAAAAAAACTAATAATAATATTTTGTATGAAGTTTACTGCATCGTGACATTTAAGAAAAAGCCCCGATATTCCTTTTGCGAGTCTTTTTATAGCCTCTGGAAAGGCGGAGCTTCCATGAAATGACGTCAGCCTCGTCAGCCAATCCAGTTCGCTTGAAATATTTCTAGAACATTCTAAAACTGTACGTATAGCATGGAGGTAGGAAGTAAGATGGAGTTGCTCTAAACAAGTTTCTCCCGTACTATAGTGTACTAGAAGATATACCCGTACCCTGCTCTGAAGCACCGGCGATCCCTACGTGGTGACCAAAACATTGGGTCATTTACCATTGAGTTCAATGGGATTTGACGCGTTCGGATGTAAATCTTTTGTAATTACATTGTAAATATACATATAAATGTATATATTTTCTTTTTCTACAACACTTCAGAGTCCTAAGTATATGAAAACAACATATTTTTAAACAACATAATACCAAATCCGTAACAATATATATATATATATATATGTGGGGGGGGTCAGTCAGAAAGTTTGTTGCGCTACTGCGTAAATATGTTCCGTCTAAGACTATTTGGATGACACTGTGTAGCAACACTTCAGACATGTAACTTATGACGTAGCGGCTTCCCCGAGGCAAGTTTAATTTTTCTGATAATCAGTGGCAAACATGTCTCGACAGCTACAAATAGCGTCTAAATTGGAAAGTGAGTGATTCGTTTTTGGTGGGCAAAAAGGTGCAACTGCACTGAAATTTATGAGCGCTTGCATGAAGTGTATGGTAAAATGCACTGTCACGTCAAGCTATCGCGAAATGGTGCAACATGTTTGAGAATGGACGTACAGATATTGACGATGCTGAGCGCAAGGGAAGACCATCAACTGCAACAAATTCGGAAATTGCTGCTCGAGTGAATGAATGCATTCTTACAAACAGACGCAAAACAATAGACGAAATCTCAAATGAACAGGATATTTTTCATGGAAGTGTGCATAAAATTATTGCCGATCACCTTATATTTCGTAAAGTTTGTGCACGATGGGTACCACGTCTATTAACGGAGGAACACAAAGGTAAGCGTTTTGAAACTCTATTTGCATTTCTGCAACGTTACCAAACGAAAACAAATGAGTTTTTGGACAAAATTGTGACTGGAGATGAAACTTGGATTCACCACTAAAACGAAACGCAGCTCTCTCGAGTGGAAACATTGCAGTTCCCCGACACGAACAAAGTGTCGAACTGTTTCATCTGCAGGAAAGGTGATGATGACGCTGTTTTTCGACAGAGAAGGCGTGTGCATACAGAGTTCATGCCGAAGTGTGCCACAATTAATGCCTCTTCTTATTGTGAAACACTAAAACGATTGCGACAATCACTTAAAAATCGACGGCCAGGTAAACTGTCGAAGGGCATTGTTCTCCTGCATGACATTGCAAGACCGCATGCAGCAAAACAAACGTGTAACCTTCTGAAAAAGTTTAGGTGGAAAGTGTCGAATCACCCTCCTTATAGCCCAGACCTTTCACCTCCTGACTTCCCTGTGTTTGGTCCCATGAAACAAGAACTTTCAAAGCAACAGTACCATTCGGATGACGATGAAAGCTGCAGCCCAACAATGGTTATCGGGCATTGGACGGGATTTTCTTTGCAGAAGGCATTGAGAAACTTTTACCACGCCTCGACAAATGCTTAAAATAACGGAGGTAATTACGTTGAAAAGTAGATTTTGAATGGAACTTTAAGATATAAATAAAGTTATTGTAATATTTTGCTCCTGTTTTGTTTTCTTAGGCAGTGCAACTAACTTGTTGACTGACCTCCGTATATATATATATATATCTATGTGTGTAAGATATAACAAAATATGATAGCTACTTCAAGAAAATAATTGGCGAACTCAAATTAACGATTCTAAATTTTATGCTTTCTCTCTAAATGTTCTCCCAAGTGTTGCGTGCGTACGGGTTCGTAATAAATTGAAGGCACAAGTCCGATGAAAAGTGAATAAAATTAATTTTTATCACAACAAATAAAAACAAAAGGCTTAAATTTCCTCAGATATTCGTACAATATTGCAATATCTCGCAGTACTTATTTTTTAAACTACCAAAACTTTCAACAGAACTAATTCAAAATAGAGAAAGCTAATCCAGTTTCATTATAGTAAACAACATCAGTTTTTTAGAAAAACAACTCATTTGGATGCCATCCTGTGTTACCCTCCAGACTGCGTCTGGTGATAAAATGGACATAGATGGAAAGTTAAACGTAAACATACCGTTTGGATGTGCCGCCTAACATCACACGGCATATATGGCAGAGATTACAGATTCTTGCATACTCGGACTGGACGTTTTAAGGAAATACAATTTTCCCTTGGATTTCAAAAGCAACAGATTGCTTTTAGCATCAGAGGGCACAGCAATCCGTCATCAGAAGGGATTCTCACCTGGAAATGCCTACGTCTTGTCTAAAAGACCCTGCTCAGAAAGCCGCCGAAATTTTACTAGGGTGGAAGAGAAACACCAGACTATCGGGCTCATCGGTCGTGCCACTCGTCTTCCATGTGATGTCTTGTTTGATAGCCCTCCGGATACACCTTCATCACCTGAAGAATACGTCCAAGATCTCTAGGCCCAGTTTGAAGTGATGCAAGACCGAGTCAGCTTGTCGACGGAAAAGGTGAAGACCCGATACGACACGAGAGCTGCTGGATATCGATTCAACGAAGGAGACAAGGTGTGGTTGCGAACCTGATTCAACGAAAAAACGTCAGTTCTAAATTACAGTCACCTTGGGATGGTCCTTGCACCGTCGTGGTTCGAATCCGAAATCGTCCGTCATCGAACTCGCAACCTAAAGTCGTTCATTACGACAAGTTAGCACCTTACTATGGCCATAGTACGCTGTGTAAATAATTGTAAATAGTGTAAGACCATGGTCCTTTTTGTTTCTAAATGTGTATTTGATTTGACTTGTATTTAGTATTTGATTTGTATTCAGCACTTGATAGTATTTGAATTGTTTTAAGTTACTATTGCATTTATTGTTTATATTATTTGTTATTGTAATGTAATGTTTATTATTGCATTGATGCCTTAGTTTTAAGTTTGACTTCCTGTCCAGGGATTGTACTGCCAGGGACGTGCAGTCCTTGGGAATGGACGTGTTACGGTTTTTGTATTAATTTAGCTATTTTTAAATAGAATTAATTAAAATTGTTTTATATTACCTTGCAGTGCAGCGCGAGACTTATTTGAAAAGAAAGCTACGTCGGAAAAATTAAAAATACAGGAGCACGAGCATTTAATAAATATATATATCTCGTAATTGTACGCTTTTGCTTTTCGGAAAAAATCGAGAAAATTCTCGTGGATTTAGAAAGCTTATAAAGAGCGGGAGGAAAACCTCTCAATTCAGTTTTTAGAAAACTGTTGTTGTTTACTGTAGCGAATTCGCGGTGAAATCGGATTAGCTTTCTCTATTTTGAATTAGTTCTCTTGAAAGTTTTGGTAGTTTAAAAGATAACTACTGCGAGATATTGCAATATTGTACGAATATCTGAGGAAATTTAATCAAATTTATTTTTATCACACCAGATCTCAGAAATTAATGGACAGTTTTTAATGAAATTTGGTATGAACATACATTTACTAAAAAGAAAGTGATGTACCATTCAAAAGTCGCTTTACGTACCTATGATTATCAGTAAATCTCATTTCTCACGGATGTCAAAAATCCACGTTGGGTCATCTAACTGAAAATGTGTCTAATATGGGTTATGGTAACCTCTCACAGTCAGACAGGCAGCGCAGCGTGACGGCATATTGGACAGCAGGCAACTGAGGGGTCCTTGTGGCAGTCGATCTCACTCCAGCAAGGTACTTTTTAATTGCCCTCCCAAAAGCTTCCCAGACATGCTTTATAAGTTTAAAGTCGGAAGATCTGGATGGTCAATCCACGCGATGAATATCCTTACTTTCCAGGTATCGTCGAACAGCTGAGCCCTATGTAAACGAGCGTTTGTCGTCCATTAACAGGAACCCAGATCCAGGGTCTAAGATCTATCTATAACTCATACCAGACAGCGAGCCTTTCTGAAACACATGCAGGTATGTGAGGTAGTCTAACATAATGCCTGTCCAAACCACCTTAAAGATCCTTTTCCCCCTTCTCTTATATGGTGTTCCAAGTTTAAAAAACGAAATAAAAACACCTTACGAAGTGATGTTTGGCAGAGTACCAGCTGTCTCTCACTTCAGAACTTTTGGCCAAAAAGCATTTTTGCTAAATAAAAGGCCAGGAAAAGGCAAATTTGATATTCGATCTAAAGAATGTATTTTTATTGGCTATTCTGACGAATCAAAAGCGTATAGACTTTGGGATCCAGAGGCACGTAAAGTGATAATAAGCAGAGACGTAAAATTTATTAATGAGTTTGAAAACTGCTGCAGTTATGACTCAGAGCAAGAAATAAATCTGCCTTTCGCTCCGGAGGAAAAAATTATAAATAAAACATGTTGTGAAAAATCATCACCTCTGGACGGTAGCGAGTCGCCACTTCACTCTGAAGCTGAAAAGGAAAGCGGAAGTGATTTAGATAGCGAATCAATGCTTCCTATCCTGATTAAAAGGGGGCCTGGTCGACCCAAGAAAATAAAAACAGGTTTGCCAGGAAGGCCTAAAAAGGAATATCACTATACAGTTGTAAATAAAAATGAACAAACTCAAAATGTTGTTGAGGAAAGCATAAATCCTACGGTGCAAGAAGCATTAAAAGGACCATATGCTGAAAATTGGCATAATGCCATGCTGTTAGAATATAATTCGCTTGTTCAGGAAAAGGCTTGGGAATTAGTAAAAAGACCTGAAAACAAGAAAGTTATTGGTAGTGAATGGTTTCTTAAATTAAAATATAATCACGACGGCACTATCGAGAAATACAAAGCTAGGCTAGTTGCTAAAGGGTGCGCTCAAATCCCTGGTCTCGATTTCACTGAAACTTTTCCCCTGTTGCTAGATTAAGTTCCATAAGAACAGTTTTAGCCTACGCAGTAGAACACAATCTCAAAGGTTACCAATTAGATTTTGTAATGGCCTATGTAAATGGAAATTTAGATGAAGAAATCTACATGGAAATTCCCGAAGGTTTTCGCGATAAAACTAATTCAGATAAAGTGTGTCTTTTAAATAGATCATTATACGGTCTTAAACAATCAGGATGTCAGTGGTACAAAAAGTTGGATGAAAAATTTAAATCTATGAAATTTAAATCTCTTAATTCAGATAATTGTGTTTATATTAAAAAGACGCCTAACGGGAAAACTATTATAATCGTTTATGTAGACGATCTTATCGTTTTTACCGATTCAAAGCAAACGTATGAAACAATTCGCGATAGTTTAGCTTCTGCTTTCAAAATGAAAAACTTGGGGAAATTACATTATTGCTTATTATTGAAATTCTATGAATTTCACCAAAATGAGAATTCAATTAAAATTTCTCAAAAGAAATACGTTGATGATATTTTAAATCGGTATAATATGGAAAATGCTAAATCCGTGTCTTTACCTATAGATAACAGCAAAAAATTATCAAAAGAGATGAGTCCTAAAAACGAAATCGAAATCGGTGACATGAAAAATGTTCCATTTAGAAATCTGATCGGATCACTAATGTACCTTTCAGTAGCTACTAGGCCAGATATCACATACGCCGTGAATTTCTTAAGTCAATTTAATAACAATCCTGGAAAAGAACATTGGCATGCTGCGAAAAGAATACTTCGATATCTAAAGGGAACACCAGATCAAGGACTAATTTATACGAAAACAGGAAAACCACTCATCGCCTTTGTGGATGCAGATTGGGCATCAAATGTCGATGATCGAAAATCCTACACCGGTTTTGTATATATATTAAGTGGTTCAGCCATAACCTGGGAATCACGAAAACAACGCAGTGTAGCTCTATCTTGAACGGAGGCGGAATATATGGCTTTGTCTGAGGCCGCCAAAGAAACCGTCTACCTACGTCGTTTCCTGAAGGAGCTGGGTTACAACATAGAACACCCAACAACAATATACTGCGACAATGAAGGAGCTCAGAAAATTACGAAGAACCCGGTGTTTCACTCCCGTACAAAGCACATAAACATTCGCCATCATTTTGTGCGTGAAGTATATGAACGCCGTGAATTAGATGTGCAGTACATACCTACCAGTGAAATGGGAGCTGATGTGTTAACCAAACCCCTGACTTCCGTTAAACATCAAAACTGTTGTACAATTATAGGATTGAATACTGTTTAATATGTATTTTGTTTTACATCTCAGGAATAGGAGAATCGACGTCGAAAGGGGGTATGTTGGCAACCGCCGTTGATTCGCCTAGCACATGCTCATGATAAGCAAGTTCTCTGCTGCGTAATACTTATACTTAGTTAATACGCAGTTAGCCAAAGTCAATGGTGAGTATTGCATGTAAGAGAGAAGTGCAAAGCGCTGTGTAATATCATGTTTCTACTCTGCTGTTCCACGTCTTCATAGTTTAAATAAATGTTTGTCATGTATATAGAAGACGTCATTTTATTCTTCAAGTCTCTTATCTAAGATAGCCCACCAGCGGCCGAGCGGTAAAGACGCTGAACACTGGTAGTCCGGTCTGAGGTTCGAATCCCGCGAACGGGCTGGCTGCATGGGCGTTTTCGTGGTTTTCCTCATGTGTAACGTGTATACGAGCCAGTTTCCCTTAAAACGTCCTCCACGAAGGCATCCCTCCCTTTAGGCAGATAGCCCTCGTGTGCTTTGTCATAACTGAATAATCCTAATCCTAATCCTTATCTAAGATAACCCCAAGACGTTTTGTTCAATTCGACACACGAATTAATTCACCGTTTGTACAAAGGCTCGTCTTCACTGAGTAGTTGGTCACCTTCTCAAGTAGTTACCGTGGTGAATTATGCTTGCCTTCCGGTTGCGCTAGGGATTTCCTGACCTACTCTTTTCGGCCAGAGAATCCTTTCGGTAGGGTATGTAGGGTCGATAAGTACGTAGAGTTCTGTTTATTTTTATTAATAGTTATTTTATTTTGTGAGCCTTTCCCAAAATCTTTTATTTTCTCTCGCGTTTCCTCGCCGAGATGTGAATTAAGTAGAGTGAACAAGAGTATTCAAACTGTTGAAGCGAAAGTGTTAAACAGAGCATAATTTCGCTATTGTGAGCGCACATTTGTTAGTTTCTACAAGCTGTGAATCTTAATAGCAGCTACATATTCTTCCCGTCGAGTTAAGATCCTGCTGTTGTATGCTTTTTGAGTCAGCCGGTTAGTTTAAATTGAATTGTGCAGTCTCGCACTACTCTTTACCTTTAAATTTAATATTGCATTACATTTTAAGTTCTCAACGCAAGTGGTCGGTGTTTTGTGTAAGCATGTAAAGGCGTGCTATCTGTTAAATAGCTTGTGATCAATAAAAGGGTCTTTTACACTCTTTTCCTGGCTGTGTTCATCTTCACGCCTGTGCGAGGATTTGTAAGGTACAACACTTAAGTAGATCCTAGGAGATTGATTTTCTGGTGACGTCAGAGGTCATGTAAGTTTCCGAACCTTTGGCGTCATAAGAATCACATGATCTC